CTAGTTGTTTCATCTAAGTTTTATCGTTTGTTTCTTTTATGCCTTGTCTGTGTTCCTCGTTCGTGTTGAGGTTTATGTGTTATGATTATTATTATTGTTGTCTGAGGTTGGAGGGCGGTGTTGTGGCCACTGTGAGAGAGAGAACATTATTTAGAGGCAGAAACATTGATTAAGATAACGCCGCCTCCTTAATGACGTCGTGTACAGTCACCAAAACAACTCCCTTCAGTTCTCTCTCTCTCTCCCATCCATGAACCTCGAGACTCATGAACCTGTGAATCCAAGACGTGAACCAGTGAACCTTCTGTAGACCCAATAATAACTGATGTCTCGGATTCACAAGTTCATGAGTCTCAGGGTTCATGGGTGGGAAAGAGAACTAACGATGTACAGATGTATATTATCGTTGTCTTTCACTTCTGTATAAATATTTTCTTTTAGTTTGTCTCTCAGTCTTTTCTGCATTCTCAGTTCATTTCGTCTTCACAGCAAGTAACGAATCTGCCACTATTTACATTCTAGCTAACGAAGTCTTCTCTCCACCATTCGCCCGCACTCGTTATCTGAAATCTCATATACTGTTCTCTAACACAGTCACCCTCGACACACCTCTTACAATGTGTGGGTTCTTCTGCTGTAGACCGGCTAAAGTAAACACGGCAGCCAAGACGACCCGGAGGAGTTGAAGTTTATGGTAAAACGTTCATGAATCTTGGACACTTCTGGGCCACCAAATGTCCTCTGTAACAGTCATCTTATGTAGTGTTGGTACGAGACCTCAAATGGCATTAATTTTATATAAAAAACTTTCTTTATAGTAAAACAATAAATTCAGTAAAAATTTTGAATCGTTATATATAATTTTGGATCATAAAATGTAAAAACTTATTTTTTTTATTTATTTTTTTTTCATTAATTAGTTACAAAGTGCATGACAGCAGAAGGCGAGGCAGGAGGTGAGGAACTAATACCTGAAGGTGAAGTGTTTGGTCTAACTGGTCATTAGAGTCCTTAGGTTATTGTGTGTTGAGCACATTTGATTACAGCGCCTTTCTGTGTGTTCGTCTCTCTGTCACTTTATCTGGTCAGTTCACCTGTTCACCTGCCTATCAATCTATCTTACTTCATATATCAACTTCTCTTATATGCTTATGCAGGTATATCAATATATACCTTTGTTTCTATACCTGTTTATTTATCTATCATTGTAAGCATCTTTTGTATACAACTATCTATATAATTATCTTATTTACTCAACGAAATAAGAGGAACAAGCACAATAAACTAAGTAAAAGATAACTGCTAAAACGTCATAAAGGTGTCCCGTCTCTGCCAACCTCTCGTTAACATGGAGCTGACACTCACACACACACACCTCCCGCCCAGCCACTCTCCCCGACCCCGCGCTCTGGTAGGGAGGCGGCCGTGGTGGACTCTGTGACGAGCTACAAACTGGGGGGCAATAAAACATATTATGACGAGTAATAACCTGAAACTGTGGTAGTCGGAGAACTCAACCCCATGTGAAATCTTTGGCCAGTTGTCAAAAACACGACGTAAAACTTTCTGCACCGTGAAAAAAGAAGATTCAGCATGTGTGTGTGTGTGTGTGTGTGTGTGTGTGTGTGTGTGTGTGTGTGTGTTCGTTACTCATGAATGATAAAGAAGTGTAGAAACGTATAATATTTTTCTGGTTTTTTTTTTTGGTGGTGTGATGTTGAAAAGTACATTAGCAGATCAATCGGGGAACGTGAGTCGAGAAATACCATCAGTACAGGTGTTAAGTAAAGGCTTTGTGTATTAACTAGGTAGTAAAGTGCACTCACTACACACTACAGTACGCACACTAAACTACATGCTCCTTCAAAGAGTAATTGTCTGAACTTAAGTGACCTGACCAGCGGCCCCTCTTATAACCTAAGAACCTTTGGATCCATCAGTTTGATATTTTGTAATGGTAGACCCCCCACTTACCTCCACTACCTCCTCTTACCTCCCACCTCCACCTACCTCCCCTCCCGCACCCTCCCTGCACCACCTCCCCTCCCACACACCTACCTCCCTCCTCCGCACCTACCTCCCCTACCTCCCCTCCCGCACCTACCTCCCCTCCCGCACCTACCTCCTCCCCTCCCCTTTAAAAGACGTCAGGTAGCTGGCTGTTATACCTACAGGTGTATAATTACCATAAGATTTATCCAGGTAAAAATATTAGTTTCTCAGGTACAGTTATTCCACTACCTATATACGACGACACTTGCTGTTAATCACTGAGAGTTTCTGCCTTTTCAATAGCCATTCCAGAGACATTCCAGGAATCTTACTAACGAGTATTCCAGTCATTCAACAAAAAATCTATCTTGCTGTCAGGGTCATTCCAGGAACCACCATCGTGTTATCATTATTCCAGTCATTCCATAAAACCTTCCATCTTGCTATCAGGGTCATTCCAGGAACCACCATCTTGTTATCATTATTCCAGTCATTCCAAAAAACCTTCCATCTTGCTATCAGGGTCATTCCAGGAACCACCATCTTATTATTAGTATTCCAAGTTTGTTATCATTCGTAGTACACAGCAGTTTCCTCATAAGTATCTCGTTATCTTGGGAGTTAAGCTGATCCCGTGATGGTGACTTAAAATACTACAAACCTGCTATTACTCTCACAGCTCTCTCTCTCACTCTCATAGCTCTCTCTCTTCACTCTTACTTTGTGTCTCACTCTCACTTTCATAGCTCTCTCTTCACTCTCACTCTCATTGCTCTCTCTTCACTCTCACTGTCTCTCTCCTCACTCTCACTCTCATAGCTCTCTCTTCACTCTCACTGTCTCTCTCCCTGGTATCTCCCTGTTATAACTCCTATGTCTCTTACTCTCACATCTCTCCTCGCCATGTGTGTACTTGCTTGTTTGTTTGTTGTTTATTTGTTTTTATTTGTTTTATTTGTTTGTTGTTTGACTCAGTACAAGTATTGGTCATGAATGATTGGTGACCCTGTGACCAAAACACTGACCTGAGATAACTATTGGCTGGGTTGTGGACTCGTTTTCTCTCGTCAAGTCAGTTCCTCTAACCACTACAGGTAATAGATGACCTTTTTCCCACATCATCCTCTCAAGGAACTCGGCTCGTTATAGTTACAAGGGCGTCATCAAGGGCGTGAATACTCCCCCTTTATGCTTGGGTCAAGGATCAGCCATTCTGAACCCAATGAAACCTAACCTAACCCAATGAACCACGAACCCCCGAGAGATTAAGACTCGTGAACCCGAAGCATTTATAGACAGACTAATGTGTCAGTCTACTGGTTCAGATTCTTCCTTCAGCTGCCAATATATTTCATCCTTAGATTCATTAGTGTTAAACATTTGATTCCTGGAGGGTTAAACCATTGTCCTCAAAGGTTTAAATCATCATCCTCAAAGGTTTAAACCATCGTCCTCAAAGGTTTAAACCATCGTCCTCAAAGGTTTAAATCATCATCCTCAAAGGTTTAAACCATCGTCCTCAAAGGTTTAAACCATCGTCCTCAATGGTTTTAAACCATTGTCCTCAAAAGTTTAAACCATCGTCCTCAAAGGTTTAAATAAGTTTCATCCTCAAAGGTTTAAATAAGTTTCATCCAAGTTTTAACACCAGTGGTATAACACGATGTCTTCCGCTCGTTGAACTTTTATCAATACTTTGTGTCTCTTTACCACAACCACACCTGGTAACACACTCACCTACAGTTGACTACAGTACCTCATCAAGTACAGTGCCAAGCGAGGAATAAAGTCTTTTTTTTTTAGAATAAGATTGAAAATAAAACACCTTTATTTTTATTTAATCATTTATTTAGGAAAATGCGTTTCTAAATGACACAGTATATAAGAATATTACACTTCCATAGAAATTATTCCCCCGTGATGGCTTATTGTACCTTCATCTTGTTTACACCACCACCACCTAGAGAAGTACTCATAAACCTCACAAAACATTAAACATTAAATAGATTCTTTATAACATTATATAAGTCCAGTTACTAAAGTCTCTTCACCGCACAGATGTTCCCGTGGCCTCATAACTCAACACCGGAAGGCAATATTTCCTCATAATTCTTTGTATTTTTGTCATTAATGTCAGGTGAAGATTATGTTAAGTTTCGTTCATGATTGTGTGTCCGTGGAAATGTGTGTGTGTGTGTGTGTGTGTGTGTGTGTGTGTGTGTGTGTGTGTGTGTGTGTGATGGTGAGATGCTGTTCTGGATATGTGTTCACAGAAAAGGTTGTAATAACTCACAATTACTTTTCGTATTACGTGTTCAAAAGGTAGGCGTGCGTCAAGAGTTCTTCAATTCAATACGTGAACAAAGAAATGTGTACATCGAGTTGTTCTTTTCATTTTATGTCAAATAAAAAGAGAGCGCATCGGGGTGTTATTCTGTTTACATGTTCTTACCGAACACTGACAAGACGGCGGAGTCCTTACCGAGCACTGACAAGACGGCGGAGTCCTTACCGAGCACTGACAAGACGGCGGAGTCCTTATGAGCACTGGATAAGATGGTGAGTCCTTACTGAGCACTGACAAGACGGCGGAGTCTCACTGAACACTGACAAGACGCAGGAGTCCTTACTGAGCACTGACAAGACGGCGGAGTCTCATCGAGCACTGGATGACAAGATGGCGGAGTCTCACGAGCACTGACAAGCATTTGCGGAGTCCTTACTGAGCACTGACAAGACGGCGGGAGTCCTTACCGAGCACTGACAAGACGAGTGAGTCCTTACCGAGCACTGACAGACGGCGAGTCTCCACGAGCACTGACAAGACGGCGGAGTCCTTACCGAGCACTGACAAGACGGCGGAGTCCTTACCGAGCACTGACAAGACGGCGGAGTCCTTACCGAGCACTGACAAGACGGTGGAGTCTCTTATCGAGCACTGGACAAGACGGCGGAGTCCCACGAGCACTGACAAGACGGCGGATTCCACGAGTACCCAGTTGAAGACGGCGGAGTCCTTACCGAGCACTGACAAGACGGCGGAGTCCTTACCGAGCACTGACAAGACGGCGGAGTCCTTACCGAGCACTGACAAGACGGTGGAGCTTTGTCAACATGAACTAGAAGGAGGTACTCGTAGGTTCTGCTCTCGTGTAGATAAAACAGTCTCTTTTTATCGAAGCTGTGCACATGACTGAAATATTGAGCACCGTCAGTCTGCCAGCCGCTGAGCGCTTCCATGTTGCATTGGTCAGGGAAAATATTTCTTTTAGTGTTGTGGCTGCAGGAAGTCTCTCGTCCAGCCCTCTAAAGGATGATAGTTTTTGCTTTCTTAAGTAGGATGATAGTTTGTTGTGAACGTAAATGGGATGATGTTTTGTTATGTGGTGCTAAACATGGGTGATAACTATGACCAAATATAAGATATGAGTTTACCTCTGATACCCTGATAGAGACAACCGCTTCTGATGCGTTACCCTGAATAAGAACAAAATATTTCTTCACCCTAAAAGGTCTTGTGTATAGTAAATCCTTATACTTACACCAGACCCTGAATATAAACTTCCCCAGGGTCATCCCTTACTGTCTAGAGTAGTAGACTGTTCCTGGCATCCTTCAGGGGCGAGTGGGTATTAGTCCACTGCGGGCCGTTTAAGGTGCCATTTACAACGTATGGCCCCATTATCACATCACCCCCTCTCACGTGGCCAGGGTGAGTGGCCAGCTTCAACACGTGGGGTAGTTTTATCTGTATGGTGGACAGCAGAAGCAGCGGTAGCAGAAGGTGGTGCAGGAGGAGGCGAGGTAGTGGAAGAAGGTGGACGTGAAGCACAGCAGCAGGATGACGCCGCCTCTCCACGCTGACACTCTGGCTCCTCCCTGGATGGCCGCCGGGTACTCGTCTGTGGGAGAACAGTCTCTTGCTTACTGGCCACGAGTGAGAGATAATGGCCACGAGTGAGAGATATAGTGGCCACGAGTGAGAGATATTGTGGCCAGGAGAGAGATATAGTGGCCACGAGTGAGAGATATTGTGGCCAGGAGACAAGTGGGAGATACTGACCGGGAGACAAGTGGGAGAGACAAGAGGAAAAGGCGACGGACAGAGAGACAAATAAATGGGTGGAAAAATAAAAATAATTGGTACATACACACACACACACACACACACACACACACACAAACACACACAAACACAAACACACACACTCACACACACACACACACACACACACACAAAGTCTCCCCCAACAAAATAAAGAAAACAGAAAATGAAAGGCACATAATATACGCCATCAAGTGTAGTTAAAAACTTTGCACGGGAACCTACCCTATAATTTGAACACTCAAGAGTCAATTAAATGCCAGCGTAAAATCCTATAACCCAAAACTTTAACAAAAACGTAAAAAAAATAAATAAAATAACAAAAACTGAGTTATCTTGAAAACAATAGCGAATTTGATCAGATGTTCATTGATCTGGTTAATGTGTTGGATTACAGAGAAGTTGAAATCTATATTGTCGTGTAAACTAAACTGTGAGGGTGATGTCTTGGCCGCTCGTGTTATCCGTAAACTGAGGTACTGACAATATTCATTTGAATTCATTTACTTGATCATTAAATACAAACCTGTTTCTTTGTGTACAACTGTTCATTTAATTAAGTCAAGGGTTTGTACAGATTGACCAGAGGTAAAATTTAATGTATAATAAAAGTGTATGTATATATGAATGAATATATATATATAAACAGACATAAATTCACAGCTCAACTTTTAATGTAAAACTCACAGGACACAGTTCATAATATTTACCAACAAATGTACAAAATGGTAGAGTGATATGTTTCGTGTGTGTGTCCATAGTTGATTGACCTGTGATATTTAAAAGTTGATTTAGATTGGCTTTATTGAGTGTATGCTTGTGCGTTCGTGTGTGTGTCTGTGTGTGTGTGTGTGGTTAAATTATCTACACTGACAGTTTATTTCCTGTGGGAATCAATATTACTGCCGACACCACCCACACTTACACCACCACCACCTACACCACTCACACCTACACCATCACCACCTACACCACCACCACCTACACCACCACCACCACCACCTACACCACCCACACCACCACCACCACACACCCACACCACCAACACCCACACCACCACCCACACCACCACCACCCACACCACCACCACCACACCACCCACACCCACACCACTAACACCCACACCACCACCCACAACACACACCTTCACACCACCACCCACACCACCACCCACACCACCCACACCACACCACCACCCACACCACCACACCCACACCACCCACACCCACACCACCCACACCCACACCACCACCCACAACCACCACCACCACCCACACCCACACCACTAACACCTACACCACCACCACCTACACCACCACACCACCCACACCACCACCACCCACACCACCCAAACTCACACCACAACACCCACACCACCACCCACACCAACCACACTTACACCACCACCCACACCACCACCCACACCACCCACACACCCCACACCACCACCCACACCACCACACCCACACCCACCACACCTACACCACCACCCACACCACCACCCACACCACACCCACAATTTACACCACCACCCACACCACCACTCACACCACACCCACATCTACACCACCCACATCTACACCACCACCAACCACACCCACAACACCGCTACACACCTGCGCACCACCCACCCACAACACCTGCTACACACCTGGCACCACCAACACCCACAACACCTGCTACACACCTAGCAACCACCAACACCCACAACACCTGCTACACACCTGCACCACCACCACAACCACACACCCACACACACCCAGCACCACACCCACCACACCTGCCACACACCCACCACCACCACCACCCACAACACCCACACACCCACACCACCACCACCCACAACACCAGCCACACCTGCACCACACCCACAACACCTGCTACACACCTGGCACCACACCCACAACACCTGCTACACACCCACAACCACCACCACTCCACACACCTGCCACACACCTGCACCACACACCCACAACACCTGCTACACACCTAGCACCACCACCCACAACACCTGCTAAACACCTGCACCACACCCACAACACCTGCTACACACCTGCACCACCACCACCCACAACACCTGCTACACACCTGCACCACACACCCACACCACCACACACACCTGCACCACACACCCACAGACCACACACACCTGCACCACACCCAACACCTGCTACACCTGGCACCACCACCACCCCAACACCTGCTACACACCTGCACCACACCCACAACACCTGTTCACACCTGCACCACACCCACAACACCTGCCACACACCTGCACCACACCCACAACACCTGCCACACACCTGCACCACACCCACAACACCTGCTACACACCTGGCACCACCACCACCCACAACACCTGCTACACACCTGCACCACACCCCACAACACCTGCTACACACCTGCACCACACCCACAACACCTGCCACACACCTGCACCACACCCACAACACCTGCTACATACCCTGCTGCACCACACCAACAACACCTGCTTCACACCTGCACCACACCCACAACACACCTGCTTCACACCTGCACACACCCACAACACCTGCTAAACACCTGCACCACACCCACAACACTCACACACCTGCACCCACACCAACAACACCTGCTACACACCTGCACACACCCACAACACCAGCCCACACCTGCACCACACCCACAACACCTGCTACACACCTGGCACCACGTGTATGGTGACGCTGGTTGCCGCCAGGTGGGTCACATTACAGTAGTAAACACCTGAGTCTTGCGTCACAGCGTTGTTGACTCTCAGCCACGACCGAGCCGAAGTCCCTCTCAGCTCTGTCTTGACGCTGAGGGAGAGAAGGAGGCCACGGTTAGTGAGGGAGAGAGGGAGGCCACGGTTAGTGAGGGAGAGAAGGAGGCCACGGTTAGTGAGGAGAGAAGGAGGCCACGGTTGGAGTGAGGAGAGAGGGAGGCCACGGTTAGTGAGGGAGAGAGGAGGCCACGGTTAGTGAGGGAGAGAAGGAGGCCACGGTTAGTGAGGGGAGAGAGGGAGGCCACGTTAGGAGGGAGAGAGGGAGGCCACGGTTAGTGAGGGAGAGAGGGAGGCCACGGTTAGTGAGGGAGAGAGGGAGGCCACGGTTAGTGAGGGAGAGAGGGAGGCCACGGTTAGTGAGGGAGAGAGGGAGGCCACGGTTAGTGAGGAGAGAGGAGGCCACGGTTAGAGGGAGAGAAGGAGGCGCACAGTTAGTGAGGGACGGTAAACTTTGTGTGTGTGTGTATGTGTGTGTGTCAGTAAAACAGGAATTAGTGTTGGTAGTTAATTTTAACCTTTTTTAACATAAGGTTCATCTCACTTCCATCAAAGGGCACAAATAAAAACAATTACAAAAAATATTATCCATAAAATCATTATCATTTAGTTTCTGTTTTGCAGCGGTTGTTCTTGAAACTAACAGACATAATGTAGCCGTAAATTACTCGCTAATCTATTATTTCTGACAAGATTAGACACAATGAACTTTGGACTAGCCTACCTCAGCACCCTTATTACCCATGTGCCTGACAGGTGGTTGTCAGCGAGGAGACTGGTCTTAATATTTCACTATTTGACATTTGATAGACGTTAATTTGGTGACAGTGAAAAATGAGACTACCAGTACAGTGTTTTGTTGTCGTCACTAATAAATCAGAAACTTAACTTCAGACATGGTAAGGAAAAAAATCTTTGATGGAAGGAAGGGGAAGGGGGAAGGGGGAAGGAAGTATTAAAAGATAAAAGGAAGAGACTGTGAGGCGAGGAAAAGAAAGAAGTGAGAATTATAGGGAAGGAGAAGAAGGGAGGCAGAAAGCAGTGAGAGATGGGGGTACGGAAGGAAGGAGTAATGTGAGGGAGGGGGAGAGGTAGTAAAAAATGTAGTGCGGAGGGAAGGAGGGAAGGAGGAAGGAAGTAGTGAGGGAAGGAAGGAAAAAGCTGTGATTGGGGGAAGGAAGCTGGTAGAGAGAAGAAGAGGAAGCAGGAAGGGAGTGAGGAAGCAGGTAGGAAAGGAAGGAGGGGGCAGCAGGGAGGGAGGGAGGGAAGGAGGGAGGGAGGGAGGGAAGGAGGGAGAGCTCAGTATGGGACAGGGTAGGTATGGTCAAACATGTGCCACAAAAAAACACGAGTTAGGTACAACAAGCAGAGGGTATGTGACAGGCCAGTAAGCGACTATGTTAAAAGAGCAAATATCAACCTATGAGATTAATTAAGTAACAGGTAACAAGGAGATACAGTGGTACGCTGGGGGACAATCTGTAAAATAACCTGATACTCTTAGTTTACACGGACCCCGGGGATGAACCACAGCTTTTATTATTCATTCGACGGGTAAGGCCAGGGAGGTAACGAACACACTCCCAGCTTTTGTATTACGAACCTGAGTCAGTTACTGAGTTGGGTATTATAGGTAAAATATTTTATTGGAAGGAAGACGAAGTGAAATCTGTATGGGTTACTTATCTGAAGTAGCTCGAGGTGTGAGAGTTGATTTATTTATTTATTTATCTACCTGTCGACTGAGGATTGTTCGGTCTAGTGAGAGACAAAATTTACTTTATTTCATAATTAAATCTGTGTTGTTCTGGTTGATATCGTATGTTAACAAGACTAAGGACCGATACATTATAGAATACTCCAGTCTAAATCTGTTACCTCACTCACTCACTCACTCACTCACCATAAACTTTAATTTGTTGGCAGAGAAAGAAATATTTTAAAATTTGTAAAGTAAGAGGTAAAATTGCTTGACTTGGAAGAAATAAAAATGGTGGACAGCTTTAATGAACTAAGGCGGGGAGTATTGACCAAGGATATAGCTTCATTTAGTGTGTTGACTGTGAGGAAATTACCCCAGGTATTGTGAGGCTGATTAAGATGTGACGTAGTCCACAGGTGTGATGGTGATCGGTCGGTGGGAAAGACTCCATGGTAACGGGCACCATTAGTAAGCAACATACATGCACTGCCTCGTATACTGAATAGATTTGTTGTTGTTTGAGAGGATAGCAGCTGTGACAGTCAGGTGACGGTAGCCAATAATAGGGTTGTATTATAGACGGTAGCCAATAATAGGGTTGTATTATAGACGGTAGCCAATAATAGGGTTGTATTATAGACGGTAGCCAATAATAGGGTTGTATTATAGACGGCCAATAATAGCCAATAATAGGGTTGTATTATAGACGGTAGCCAATAATAGGGTTGTATTATAGACGGTAGCCAATAATAGGGTTGTATTATAGACGGTAGCCAATAATAGGGTTGTATTATAGACGGTAGCCAATAATAGGGTTGTATTATAGACGGTAGCCAATAATAGGGTTGTATTATAGACGGTAGCCAATAATAGGGTTGTATTATAGACGGTAGCCAATAATAGGTTTGTATTATAGACGGTAGCCAATAATAGGGTTGTATTATAGACGGTAGCCAATAATAGGGTTGTATTATAGACGGTAGCCAATAATAGGGTTGTATTATAGACGGTAGCCAATCATAACCTCGACGGGGCTTTAAAGACTAGTTATATCATAACTCAAAATATACCGATTAATTAACTATTTTCCCTGGAAACTGACCATAGAAACTAAAGCTCATAAGACGAAGAATAAAATATTGCAAATTGAACGTCACAAGTAAGAGCTGTTTCCCCCAGACAGTGACCTGAGACCTTTCAGGTGTTCCTTCAGGCGGGAAAAACTCTCCTCCCGTCCGACAACTGAGGCGTAAGTTCAAGGTTTAGTGTTTTATTATTCGTATTAAACCCTCCAGTTTTTTACCCATGACCTTATAGCTTGATGGAGGAGTGGCGGTTTTAAAGCTGAGATACACCGAGGGTTTTATTTACCTGCAGCTTGTTTAGCGTCCACCTGTAATATTGACGGGATAGGCCAGCTGTCATGACAACCTTCTATCATCTCTCTCTCTCTCTCTCTCTCTATCGATTCTAAAGTGTTCCAAGATTACCAGACTATTATCATATCTTTATCTGTCAAATAAAATACAGGAAACAAACATTTAATCACCTGTTTTAATTTTGTCTGTATTCGTTACTTAATCCAACTTAATCTACTAATTTTAGCTGCATTAATGACCAAAACAGAGATTAAGAGTTATAATGACGCAGTTACTCCCCTGAAGTCGTTGTAGATGAGGGAGTTTGTCGTGTTACCTACCTGACGCCGCCCCGGGAGTCGTCGTAGTTGTGGTGAGGTCGTGTTACCTACCTGACGCCGCCCCGGGAGTCGTCGTAGTTGAGTCTGTGGTTGTGGTGAGGTCGTGTTACCTACCTGACGCCGCCCCGGGAGTCGTCGTAGTTGAGTCTGTGGTCGTGGTGAGGTCGTGTTACCTGACGCCGCCCTGGGAGTCGTAGTTGTGGTGTCGTGTTACCTACCTGACGCCGCCCCCGGGAGTCGTCGGTTGTGGTGAGGTCGTGTTACCTACCCGACGCCGCCCCGGGAGTCGTCGTAGTTGTGGTGAGGTCGTTACCTACCTGACGCCGCCCCGGGAGTCGTCGTAGTTGTGGTGAGGTCGTGTTACCTACCTGACGCCGCCCCGGGAGTCGTCGTAGTTGAGTCTGTGGTTGTTATGGTACCAGGCCAGCTGGAGGGTGGTGGCCGTGGGCACGTCCGCCACGTGACACTGTAACTCTATGGTGGAGCCAGCACGGTAGAACTTCTCCTTGAGCACCACCCCGCGCTCGTCCAGGATCTGTAACGCTGCCTCTGTAACAACAACAGCTGTAACATGTGTAACGCTGCCTCTGTAACAACAACAGCTGTAACATGTGTAACGCTGCCTCTGTAACAACAACAGCTGTAACATGTGTAACGCTGCCTCTGTAACAACAACAGCTGTAACATGTGTAACGCTGCCTCTGTAACAACAACAGCTGTAACATGTGTAACGCTGCCTCTGTAACAACAGCTGTAACATGTAACGCTGCAACAACAGCTCTAACATGTGTAACGCTGCCTCTGTAACAACAACAACTGTAACATGTGTAACGCTGCCTCTGTAACAATGAGAGAAAGAGGGAGAGAGAGAGAGAGATTGTGTAAATATCAATTTTTTAAATCGAGAGAAAAAAAATCGAAATAAAACACAAAAATCCTAAAATTAATTCCATAAACGTAAAAGATTACCCGAGAATAACATCAACAAGAGAAACATTAACAAAAGTAGAAAGAAAACAAAAGAAGAGACAAGAAAACACACAAGAGAAGACGGAATTTAGCAGCAAGAGTTAGGGGAGAGTGTGAAGGGTGATGAAGTATGTATATGTGAGAACTGGCAGACATGCGTGAAAACTGGGTAGAGATATTCAGGAATGGATTTGGCAAGAGAAATAGGAACGCAGAAATTGGCAGAAGAGATAGAAGCTGAAATTGGCAGGATAAAGAAAGGTTGGAATTGGCAGGAGAAAAATGAATGTAATAGTCAGAATACAGAGTAAGATTGTAATAGTCTGGACAGAGAGTTCGGCTGTAATAGGCAGAACAGAGAATCGTGTTCAAAATTTCCCCCATAAGTGAAAGTGTGGTAAAGAGCGTCACACTTAACACCTGAAACTTTACCGTAACTATAGGTTTCTGTTTTACTCTGAACGGGTAACCAGATAGCTCCCCTCTCGCTCCCCAGTCAAGCTAAAGGTTTCTCTTTTAATCTGAGCAGGTAACCAGATAGCTTCCCTCTCGCTCCCCAGTCAAGCTAAAGGTTTCTGTTTTAATCTGAGCAGGTAACCAGATAGCTCCCCTCTCGCTCCCCAGTCAAGCTAATAATGTGGACTGGGACACCTTACGCTCTTGACGACATGTGACACTTCGCTCGTGATTTCTATTTTATGAAGCAATGAAGGGTCCTAGAAACTCCCTCCTTACAGCGCCAAGAGCTTTTATTCAGCAGTTTCCGAGATGTGATGATGAAACGAATCCATTTTTCTTGTTTTTTTTGGGTTCATAACTTTAGCCTCTACAGTTAATTCTTATAGCATATTATTTTTTGTTTTTGGACACGTATGAATATGATTTTGACGTTCGTGATGTTTTTATCGACTTATAGCCATCTTTTACGTTATATATTTTCTGGAGACGTGACGTGATCATCTCGCTGTTGTATTAAACTTGACTTGTCTTCTTATACTAAAGGAGTTTGGTTTCATTATTGTTTATTTTCGTAGTTAACTTCTCTCTCAGCCTGACGAGAATAACCTTATTATTGTTTGAATATTAATACACATTTTATGTTTCGTTAGTCAGGGGTTTGTTGTTTCTCTTCAGTGATGATGGTGACGGTGAGAACCAAAAGTTAAATTTAGAGAAACATTAAGCATATTGATTGAGAAATAAAACATTATTACAATATAAATGTTTAAGATAAATAACCAACTTACATGACGTGTGGGAATAACAACACAACAAATATACTGTAATCAATTAACAAAAAATAAAACATTTAATAAACTTTAATGCAACAATAAACATTTAATTAAAACGCCACTGTCATTTGGTACATCCCATGAGGGGAGGGGAGGGGGGGCTGGTCAGTTGAGGTGTATTCTACGAGTGAATTTCAACTTTCTCATATTATCCTCAAAACTCTCTCCACCGGGGTTATGGAGCCATCACCCCCACTAATTACTCCCCTGTTGGAAACGCCCACCAATTATCCTGTAATGGCCAGCTTTATGCCCGTTTGTTTAGACTCTAAATAAAACACCAATTATATAACAGGTAACTCCCGCCAGTCTTGCTTACCGAACAAATAAAATGAAGTAAGAAATATTGTTTTATATTACTTATAAATTTATACTTTTTTCATGTCTAGCGATTCCTTTGTTAGAAAAATATCTTTATTACGTTAAATGAAATAGAGACGCAGCGAGACAGAATGACAGACGGGCTAAAAGAGACAGAGACAGAAGGGACAGGTAAAAAGTGAGAGAGAGAGAGAGAGAGAGACAGAGAGAGAGATAGGGGTTACAGTTCTTGTTTTCCGGTCGATCACAAACTCATCAACAGAAAAAAGAAGTCATTTCTCCCTCCACCTTCACCAAACTGGGAAGACTCAGGTCACACGACAACAGATAGTCACCATCACAAGCCCCAGCGTGGCTATATATATATATGGTCACCATTACCTTACCTTCACCAGGACAGATCACTCGAGTAAACTGGCCCTGAGGAACACATAAAAAATCTAAGACGTTCGGTCATCTCGTGTCTAAAAAAAATTGTATTGTTTGTGCGTCAGTCATGTGGTGCTTGTGTTGATCTTTAAAGCGAGGATAATTACAAGAAACTATATTATATTCTTAGACTGTGATTGGTAGATAATAATAATAATAATAACATCACCAGGTAGACAGGCCAGCAGGTGCACAGTAGAGGTATAAGCCAGCACAGGCCACAACAATGGCTTCAGTATCCTCCTCTTAATTCCTAATTTAACCAAAACTCCGGAGGCAAATGTACCTTTATCCCATAATGGAGTATAATTAGCTCTTAATGAGGTAAAACATTTAATGGAATCTGCTTCTGATTGTGTTACCGAGTCCAGCTGTAGAGGATCTTAGCCAGGCAGGTATTTCCTTATAGCCCTGAGAAGTCAACAAGGGAAGGGGAGAGTGTGGGGTTGTGTGGGGTTTTGGGAGGTTTTGGGAGGTTTTGGGAGGTTTTGTTGTTTTCTGGGTCTAGCGAGGTCGTGAGGGAGGTGGGGGAAGTGAGGCAATGTTTTCGAGGAGATGGATATTGTGAGGTTGATGCCAGGGGTGAGGAGACGTCTTGAGGTAGAGGCAGTCAAGGAGCAAGAAACACTCGTGAGATGATAGGCTCTTGTGGTGCTGATGTTAGAAGACGATGGTGACATCTTGGGAGTAATTCTGTGATCCAATGTCGCTTTGTTACACACACACACACACACACACACACACGGAAAACAAAATCACTACTTTCAACCCGCTAAGTCCCGGTATCCTGAATGCCATTGGATACCTCTTTCTGGATCTTGTGAGAGCGTGAAGCTGAGAATTGCTTGTAATAGCGATTGGATTTGGGCGGACGGCGAGCTTAGCGCCCCAAGAGTGTGTACAGTGAGAGAGTTCTTGTTGATATTCCAGAGTGCTTGTTGTAGACCCCACGGTGCTGTAGACCCCACGGTGCTGTAGACCCCACGGTGCTGTAGACCCCACGGTGCTGCCCCCACGGTGTTTGTGGGCACGGTGTTGTAGACCCACGGTGCTGTAGACCCACGGTGCTGTAGACCCCACGGTGCTGTAGACCCCACGGTGCTGTAGACCCCACGGTGCACGCTGTTGTAGACCCACGGTGCTATAGACCCCACGGTGCTGTAGACCCACACGCTGTAGACCCCCCACTGTAGACCCCACGGTGCTGTAGACCCCACGGTGCTGTAGACCCCACGGTGCTGTAGCCCCACGGTGCTGTAGACCCCACGGTGCTGTAGACCCCACGGTGCTGTAGACCCCACGGTGCTGTGGGCCCCACGGTGCTGTAGACCCCACGGTGCTGTAGACCCCACGGTGCTGTAGACCCCACGGTGCTGTAGACCCCACGGTGCTGTAGACCCCACGGTGCTGTAGACCCCACGGTGCTGTAGACCCCACGGTGCTGTAGACCCCACGCTGTTGTAGACCCCACGTTGTTGTAGACCCTGTGCTTGTTATAGACCTCCAATACACTCATTCTTATTCATCACTGACACTCACGGCTTCCCTCCCTCACTCCCTCCCTCCCTCACGGCTTCCCTCCCTCCCTCACTCACTCCCAACACAGCCCCCTGATACAGACAACCTCGTGACCACAACATCAGTATTGAGTAAATATTCCTAAAGTCTTCACAATAATAGAACATTAAACCTGGGAACAATATAACTTTCATTTTGGTTTACAATATGATGAAGGTTGGAGCCATAATGGTCAAGCTGGAGGTAAGACTCAGAGGTCAAACGGTGTCTTTAAGAACACACCCAGCGCTTGATGAGTCTTAGGGCTCTGATTATACCAGCTTAGTTACCTCTAGTGTAGGATAATTTCTAGTGTTATATCTACCAACCTTTCTTGTATATCTCTGGAAGAGCTACTGCACTAAGCTTATACTGAGATAGAAAGCTTTGGAGAGGAGCTACTATACTAAGCTTATACTGAGAGGGAAAGCTTTGGGAAGATCAATCCACCTCGGTAGTGTAGGAATACATCTCTAAACTGCAGGATTCTTCGAACACAAAAAGTCTTGAAACTACTGCAGCTGAGGCGGGTCCTGGGTGTGTGAAGAGGGTATGACTCTGCAGGACAGATGGCGCTCATTAGAGGGAGTCTTACACACAGATTACTTGACGATGTAGGACAGGACTGGGAGTCTTGCCGTCTGGTAAATGACCCACTCTTCTTGAGGGGAGTTATGTTACTGTGATCACTGCGAGGCTGGGAAATTGGTTAAACTTTAAGTAACATTTGTCCAGCTTATCGAGGACGGCTGTAACTCCGCTTTACGTCGACGACAAAGAGGAGAGGATCTGGTTGTCTTGTCTCAACCACTCTGGTGTTCCCGCGGGTGAGGGGCGGTGAAGCTCTCAGTAGTACGTCTAGGTGTTCTCGGGGCAGACCGTCCTAAAGGTCACCCATTTTTATTACTAACATAAGTATGTTTATTTATCCATGTGTATATCTTTCCTCCAGACATGCATGATTGTGAATGTTTATTAATT